GGAGGCTCACTCCAAAATATGAATAAGTCAACCGACTAGCCGGTTCGAGTAAGGGTTGATTGGATGAATAAGCGCAATGGTTTACCAAGAAATAGGTCCCTTTATGAAACGCTAATCAACTTCTCTGTAATGAAAGGTTATTTACTGAGTTACTTTCGTATTCATGAAAATTATATTAGAATGCCTGGGAATTCATTTACTTATTTAAAGACCCTGAGTGTTGGTCCGGCCGGGATGTAAACCAGCGGCCTTCCGCTTGGCAGACCAGCGCTTATCCAATTGAACTAACCACTAAGCAGGCGGCGCTGGATTGATTCTAATGGCCAATAAACGTTGCTGCCAAACTTGGCCCAGCAGCGCGTTTGTCTGATCACGTAAGAGACCATGTATGAGAGGGCTCACCAAATATTTGAAAAAATCGAAAAACCACTGAGTAAAAATAATTATAATAATAGTACAAGAAGAAGACGAATGATAAATAAACCGATAATAGGTCAGACTATTAAATACAAATTTTTGTTGCTGTGAGCATGCGAGTTTGATTCACGGAAGTCTATTTGGAAATGAGTTTAATATTTGAAGGTCGCATAGCAAAAAATTTATTTGAAAAAAGCACTCAAGGCCAGAGAATTTCTCTAAGGAAGTCTCAGGAAAAAATTATTCTACTCATTCCTGAATATAGGTGGGTGGCAAATGTGGACTATGCTCGCAGACTGGCCTGTAAAAAAAAGTAAAGTTCGGAAAAATTTTGTTGAATACGAATCTCTTAACTTAATTGATTCTTCTTAGCTGGCTGATCTATCTAGGGCATAGGTTTCAGATTAATGAACATCATTGCTCAACCTCTTTACCTGCCAGTCTATATGGCATTTGCACGCGACACTAGGGAAAAAACGGATGATTTCATTAACCACGCATAAAACCATTAGCAACGGGGAACTTGCTGTGTTCAATAAAAACGAACACTGTGTCGCTGGATCGACATAGAAGCAGATACTGGTTGAGCCTCATTTCGTCTGAGTAAAAGGTAAAGCTAGGTAAGGAAAATTTGTATACTTTATTAACAACTTTAACTAACTGAAAGAATTATAGCAGTTAATTTAAGGCTTTCATTTTAACCCTGTTTCTTGTCAAAAAAGCCTGGAAATAAGTAAAAAGAAACATTTTGCATCGGTATTCGAAATATTATTGCAACAACTGTCAGGACGTAAAATTTCCAAGAACAACTGAAAACGACGCAGGCGAACTTTTCTCTCCCCCCTCCCCGCATACCCTTTTTAGGATCCTGGCAGATGGGGACGGGGAGAAGGAAAGCTCGTCGTTCAAGTTTTTCTTCAAAACGATGCTCTTTGGGAAAGCCTTGGAAAAAAATTGTCTCTTGCACATATTGTAACACATAGCTGAAGTGAATTTAACAACGCAATTGTGGACATGTTTTAGTTAAAAACATTCAGTTATTCAGCGCCGTAGCTAGTATGAGGCCAACCGAGGCACTCGCCTCGGTAAAATTTTGACGAATTTCGCCGATCATTTTTATTTTACATAAGCGATCATTGGAACCTCTCAGAAAAGATGTCGTGGCCAAAATATAACAGTTAAAAAATATATATATATAACCAAAATTTTCGCCGTATTAATACTGAAAACGCAGAAAACGCTGCAAATCGCATTTCCGAGAGACTAAAGTTCAAAATTTCTCGGGGGGGGGGGGGCATGCCTCCGAACCCCCCTAGCAACTCCCGCCTGCCTCAGTTGGCCGTTTGGTCTGGCTACGGCACAGTTATTATCCGGTTATTATTTAGAAAGCTAGTTTACTAACTCAGAATAAACGGTACTGGATCGTAGTTAACAGTTACCGGCACCATGCAAACAACGACGGCAACGGTTAGGAAAAAGTCACTTAAAAAGTGAATTCGCGCTGTCTCAAACTTTATCGTACTTATTCCATTTCGTTAACTTCGTCAAATGTTGGCAAATGTTTTTGGAGTTGAATTCTAAAGGACTGTATCAAAGTTCAGGAAAAGAAAATGAAAGTTCTTGTCTTGTGTTCCCGTCATTCGGCAAAATAGGCACTTTCACGTTGTAGTCGTGCAACGACGGCGAAGAAATGTACAAAAAAGCGTGATGCACGTGCAAAATTGTTGTTTTGCTAATCTAAACCTAGTGCTTTTTTGCCGTTCTGATTGCTATCGCCGTCGTCGTTGGTTAAGCTCCATATCGACTGACAATAACAATAAAGGACTGTTTAACTGTAACTGTGACGGATCGAAACGCACCAATGACATTACGAGTCTTCATAGCCAATAACATCACGGCTTAACTGAGGAAAGACCAATAACATCGCGACTTTATTGACCAATCAGGTCGATAACTAGAGTTTAATATCATCAACTGACGCGATACAACTCACTTTGACTCTGAAGATGACTACCGCACAGTCACTGTCAACAACAGTCCTGGTCAGGACTACTTATGAAATGACTCTTGGATCCAACCTTTCACAGTTATAACAAGAGTGTTATTCTCCAGCGATGGTAGGGCGACAAAGGCCGACCCACCTGTTATCGAAAATATCAGAAACGGAAGAGCTAAGAATCAGGGATCCTGGCTGATGGGGACTGGGCAAGGAAAGCTTGTCATTCAAATTTTTCTTCAAAATGAAACAAACTCCTTAATTTGATATTGTCTAGTGCGTCAGTTTTCTAAAAAAAAAAACTGTCGTTTAAATGACTCTATTCCTGTTCTAAACCGCTGATCATCTCTGACATCTCTTAAAGATTTTTTATCAAATTTTGCAATTTGCTAGAACTGCTCATGTTTTATGATTCAGAACACTCAAAGCTAGGATTAATCTATGTTCTGTTTCATATCTGTTGCCATTCTCTATCTCAGTCAATTTAAATTTGCGATTGAGGGATGTTAAATTGCATAATGTTTAAAATTTCAATTTCTTTTTTTCAGAAGTGTTATTTTTGCCGTAACGATGAAGTCTCTGGCTTTTCTTTTAATGGTCCTGATGTTCGCTGGATGGTCCAAGGCGGGGAGCATGGCCTGTAAAAGTAAGCATAAACTCTTAATATAAAAACCGTACAAAGAGAAGAGCAGAATAAGGCAACTCATTTAATGAATTTAATTTGGTAACTATCCATCCGATAAAATTTGGTTATGACGTCACCGTACGTACGTCCGTGCGGACTCTCCGAGTAGAGGTAAATAAAAATGAATTCCTACCCTCTCCCCAAGAGAGTTTATAATAAAAATGGGAAATTAAATGAAGAAACAAGCTTCACCTTTTTTGGAGACGAGATCACAAGAAACGACAGCACCTTGGGATGAACAATTAATAGAACACCTTGTCTTTCATTTACAGATTGTTTTAATGGGGAGAAAAAGAATCCTAATGCTCCAAAAGGCGCCAATGAATAATTCACTTCAAATGAATGTGACTTGATCAAATCATAACTTAGAGTACCGAAATTTACTTTTACGAAATTTACGATTTTGGCTTTTTTGCAGAACTAGAATCGAACACCGACATTTTCACTGGAATTGAACACTTAGTAGAATTGTGCTTCCAGTTTGGTTCTATCGGTGTCGTGTTGATTTCTTGCAAAGTTAATGTTCATAAATAGGTTCATGTAGAACGGTCATCTTTGCAGATTTCAGTGCATGTGTTACTTGGTATTTTTTTTTTTTCCTGATCAGGTCTTCTTTAGTTCTTACGATCAGCGGCATATTTGTTTGCGGTCCTTTGCAGATATGGGTCAGCCTTCGCTATCCATAGCATCAAAATTTTAGTTTAGAGCGTGCACTTTATAAGGGAACTTCCTACAAGTAGCCTACGGCCAAAAGTATATAATTCAAGTCAGCGCCATTCTGTATAACAGCATTGATAAGTTATCTCTTTCCACAGACGTACCGCGCTGCACTTTGGCGACTTTGGCGACTTTGGCGATTTCCCCTTTTTATGTCCAACACCTGCTTTTGATTCTTTTCACCATGTTTTTAAAATAACTACATAAGACTTTTTTGTTCAGTTACTGGTTTGCACTGCCACGCCTTTACAAAAAACCATTCAACACACAGAGTAACATGAAAGAGGCTATGTGAGGGTATTTGCTATATTTTTAAAGAGCTAAAACGTGCCTTCGCATTCACTGAACCTGTTCCAAAACTAATGGTCTGACATTGTTATTCAAGACTATTTAGGCATTGAAATTGTTTCCTGTCTCCTGTCACTAAGGATGGCTAGGACAGACATGGATGAAAGTGAAAAAGTTGGGCTAACGTTTTTACGCGGCTCGGCCTGCAAATTTCACCAAGAAAAATTATTACGATGAGTGCTCTCTGATGCGATTTGTGCGAAGACACGTTTTAGCTTTTAAAAGGATAGAAAATACCATGACATAGTTTCCTAACAATATAGTTATATGTTCATGGGCGTAAGTTTTCCTAGACCCTAGACTTCAGAAAATTGATCCCATTATTGCGCGCGGCCGATGCCGTTTTGTGTCACGTGGACCGAGCGAGTTTTTGAGACGTGAGCGAAAATGCATTGACCGAGAAGGCTGGGAAAGACGCCAACAGGGGCTAGATAAAACGTACGTAAGTAATGTTTTTTAGCTAGACTCTAGACTGCTGGCCGCGGGAGAGAGCTGAGGTAAGCTTTCAGAAGACATTTGCAAAGGTATCGGAATGACAGAACTATGTAAGCCAACTGACATCCTTATTTTCCAACACAATTCGCCAACACTATTCTATCACTGAGCACACCGAGCAGTTTCCCGCCGAGAAAAGCGTCAAGCCTGCAAAAACTGAGATCAAGTGGAATGCTTATGACAAGGTTTGTCGTTTTCAGAACTTTGTTTTATTAGAAAGACTTACAAGGAAAATTATGTTTTGTATCTCGGTTTAGCTTGTCCAGAGGGCTGGTTTGAAAACGGAAATCAGTGCTACTTTATACTCCGCCAAAAAACGAATACATTTGAGGGATATTACGGATGCAAGCAACTCAATGCAACCCTGCCAATCAGAACGCCGAGCAGAACGCTTTCCTTACAAGTCTGATGAAAAGGCGTGGTAATACACGGCTTGGAATGATAGCACCCAAGGGTGACAACGTCTTTGAGTGGCTCGACGGGACGCTAGTAGCGGATACCTTCTCTGCATGGAATTCCGGTGAGCCTAACAATGCTGGATCAGAGAACTGTGCGATCTTGTTCGTCAGCGGAGGTGGCAAAGGCAGGCCCGTAACCAGGGGGGGTGCACGGGGTGCTTTCGCACCCCCCCACAGGCTCCAAAGGTCCGCATTTTGATACTCAATATCTAAGTTAAGGGGTGCAGGCGGTGAAACTGAAGTTTCAAACATAACAGTGATATTTAAACAAAATCAATGAATGGAATAAGCAGTAGTGTATTCACTGGGAAAATAAAACCAGCTGCACTCTAGTAGCTCGAGCCATTCAGAACAATTCAGTGAGAGCACAGATGTCCGAGCTTATCTAAATGAATAATGAAATTAACGTGCGCACGCTTTGCACGGGAGTTTACGACGAGCGAGCCAATGACAAAAGAGCGATCTCACGATTTTTGTCAGACACGTCCGCTATCGCGTCGGGTAGTATTTTCTATTTGTACGAGCGCATGAACACCCGAAGATGCAAAATGAGTCAGAAAAACACAAGTATTCTGGCACCAATCAGAAGCCAGAACGGCGGCGACCGTTTGGAACTGGTCTGGTAAGCCATTGTCCCCAGGGGCTCTTCTGAGTCTTCTCGCCGTTCTTTACTTTTCTTCGCGCCCTATTTTTCCGCCCGTTTAGACTTTCCCTCGCCCCTACTATCTCTAGGCATCCCAAACCATAAAAATAGAAGTTTTCCAGACACAAAGAGGGAAAATACATTTTATGTTTCTCCTGGTCTTTTTTCATCATTTCCTGATGTCATGACAATATTCTTTGAAAACCCCATGTGTGCTTTCTTAACAATTCCGTATTGCTTATAAAATTGTAGAGACTTCGCAAGCTCCAGTACCTGGATGAGAGTACTGATGATAATCTAACGCGGCATCACTTACAATTTCTCATGTATTGCTTCCTTCCTAAATGAACGGATCAGACAATAAAAAATACATTTCGGTAGTTTGGTCCACTTTGGCCTCGTTAGCACCCCCCCACATAAAATCCTGGTTACGGGCCTGAAAGGAAAGGGGAATAACGATGGCTGTTGTTCATCCGAGCATATCGTTTGCCAGACGGAGAAGACGGAGTTTAACCCACAGCTGCTGTGAAGCTACTGCAATTGTAGGCTAGTCTTACGTCTCACATGTAGAATTATAGTGGGCGATCAATACTCAGTGAGCCAAACCTGACAAAGAAATAAAGGTGTTGGAAGATATTACTTGTTGTAGACAATCATTTGTTTGTATTTTTGGATAATGAATTTAATTTAGCTGTCAGTATCTCAACTGGCATCGCACCCAACATTACCATCCACCAATGCCAATATAATGATCGTTTAACTTAAGGGAGTAATTTTGGATATATCTCAGGGAACCCATACCCTGTCCTATTAAGCCAAATTTACGGGGGCGTACTATTCGAAGGAGCAAATATTGGACGAGAAATTTAAGCTGTAGAGCGGCAGGTGACAAAGTCTAAAAATTTCTGGATAACCTTTCGTTTATGATATTCGGAGTTTTTCTGCTAACTTACCCTGCCACTGCCCTAAGAGCTTAGGTGGTCCGGATAAAAAAAAAATGCTCAAGTTTAAAAGTGTGAATCGGTTATAATTGATGTACAACCGTAAGCCTTTATGCCTGAAATTATTTTGTTAATCATCCCTTATACTCAAGAAAATTAAGGTATGGGTCTTCTATTTAATTCCTCAAAAAAGGAGGGTGTGGTTTAACTTTTTAAGCTTTCAATATAGCGTAAAATAACTTATGCATAGACTACCTGGGTGTAACTTCAATAACTTTGAATTATGGTTGCAGTCATTGATTGTCATGTGACCTATCAAGGCTATTTTTAGCTCAAAATTCTATTTGGCAAAATGGCACCACTTTTCATTACTTTCTGGAAGTTGCAGTGATCGTCATAGTGATGAGACTAACAGGTAAATCATTTCTGTGGCCGGGCCTATAAGTTAATCTTTTAGAAATGGACGAAATTCCGCGAAAACCGTTTGAAAAAGGGGACTGGGCACTAGTACAAAATTCCGTTTATTTATACTTTCAATAACTTATTCAACAAAGCCCGGCACAGATGTTTAGTCGAGGGCTAGGGCTACAAAATAGAGTCACCAACTCTTACCCTCTAAATAAACATAGTATTTGAGCGAAAATTTCTGCAACGTAGTACTTTGATGGAAGAGTTACCCCACCCCCGTATCCATTTTCATTACTTGAGCCCGTCCCTTTTTTGTTTACGGGGTATTAGTCACAAGTAAATCCCGGGGACGAGATTCATCCCGTTCTATTGACCGTAAATCTCCTTGTAAGTTCTCTCTTAATAAGCCCCCCTCTCCGAGAATATGCTCCCCCCATTTCAGGGGGATAATTAAAAAGTTTTGAAGCCCCCCCTTTCTTTTAAGCCCTCTCTCCCTTTTCCCTTAATATTCACAACCAAATTCATAAATGATGGACTGTACACTTTTGGCTCTTCATGGGGTCTGATTCGGTATCGATTATTCTTCGATCCCTAGCCTTTCATATACCTTAGTGGTACTTAATTATAAATTCGCGAGTTTAACGAGAGAGTATTTCGCGGGGTTTTATTTTCGCGATTTTAACAGGTAAATTAAATTTCACGATTTAGGCGATCTCAACTTCATTTTCTTTTTTAGCCTGCGTAGCAGGCGTCGAAAGGGGTAGGGGATAGGGAGGAAGGGAAAAAGGAGGGGGATTTTTTGCACTTTTCTCCTTCCCCCTTCCCCTCCCCCTCCCCTTTTTGCGTCTGCCACGCAGGCTATTTCCTTTTTTAAAAGTCTGAACGTTTAATAAAAAAAAAGAGACAAACTGGAACAAGCAATGTGTGAAATCTTTGCACTGCTAACCTTACTTCACAAAGGGAGACACAAAATGGAACTTACCAGCAAAACCATTTTGCAATTTGTGTTTGTCTATACATAACGTCGCTATCACATGTTTGTTGTTATTTGAATTTTCTCTATGGGTATTTAATTTCGCCTTTTTTTTACAATCGCTAAAAACGCGAAATATTAAGTCCCAATAAGGTATTTGAGTTTTTCCACTTTGCGTTCTGGTTCTTTATGGAAAATTGATCGATGCCATTTCCCGGTTAATTGAAACGTTAGCCAATATATAGCACCCTGTAGCCTGAGAAGCGCAGACGTATCGGAGAGAAGCGACGACCGGAAATACGTCTGCGCTTCGCAGGGTAAGCACCCTGTTACGCTAAAAATTAAATAAGCCCATCCCCCAATCTTTTCAGCCCGCAACTGGTCCACCAGCCTTAACAAAAAAGGTCCCCTAGGGCCGGGGGGAGCGAGGGGAGGGGTGCTAAATATATGAGGTTTTCTCCCCCCGCGCGCGTGGAGTTCTGGGATTATTGTTAACAAACGCGTTACAATATAACTGAACAAAAAAGATTTTTTCGCAGTTTATTGACGGTGGTTTTTGACGAAAAGGTAAGTTAACAGCGGCTTTACGAAGAACATTTTGTGCATTCTATAAAAGAGTGCTAGCCAAAGTGGAAAGAATGACATTGTTTGCGTTGATCTCAGGTTGAAATTTCATGATCCTGTGATTCGAAGTGATAATCACAAGAGAAAACAGTTTTACAAAAGGACAAGGGAACAAAGGTAAGAAGGCTTTATTTTCTATGATTTTGATTTCTTTCTTTTTCTCTTTGTCGGTCTTGTTTCTTTCCCTGATCCTTTGTCCCCTGGGAATTTCTTTTGATCATGGATTATGAGATTGATCGTGTTTTTCAGGAGTGCCCATTTTAGCTTTCGATCAACCGAAATCGAATATGCCCAGCGTGTAATCACGAGCTCACTTCACAGATGGTTGAAATTTATAACTCTACTCGACTTTGACTCGATAATTGCAAAAATTTTCTATATCGCGAGATCAAACTGACTGAAAATTAAATGCTGACTATTTACTGTGTATAACCACGTGGTCCTCGGGAGGGGGGAGGGGGGTGGGGGGGCATAGCCGTCCAGAAATTGTGAGATTGCCTTGGAACCCTGACCATTCAAATGCACATAGCAACCCTACTCTAGGCTATTGTAGGCTTTTTGTTGTATAACATTCAGCAAAAAAACATAAGCACATTATGTAGGACGCGTTGGGTAAAATTCTTAAAAGCGCCAATGCCTTGAAACTTTAACACAAGACATAAGAAATGGTGACGATGGCAAGAAGATTGGTTGAAACTGCGACTTCAATTACCAGGCCCCAGTTGTTCAAAAGCTGGATACCCTTGCGAAATGAATTCCCAGAGTTCTGGGAATTCCTAGGAATTCCAATTTATTCCAAGACATGCAAATGAGCAAAGATAAAAAACCTTGGAATACTTGGGAATACTTGGGAATGGGTTAAAACACCAGTGGGAATTTTTGGGAATTCCTAGGAATTCCCAATAATTCCAAGTTTGAAGGAAACTGTCTTTGGAACTTATGGGAATTATTGGGAATTGCTAAAACACCAATGAGAATTTGTGGGAATTCCTAGGAATTCTCAATAATTCCAAGTCATTGTTAACTTGGAAACACTGGCTTAATTTTTAGGAAAAACGATAAGTGTTCAAAGGTAGTAAAAAGCATAAAAAAAACTTTAATAATCATTTCTTTAATTGCCTATAATAACAAGGATTTCTTGACATTAACCAGCATCTATATACAACATTTATTGCGACTTAAATCTTTAAAAAAAAAATTATCAACAATAAGCACGATACTGAAAGCTTATTCAAAGTGCCACTTCTCGTACCTGAGCTTTCCAAACATGTCCACAACACGTTTCTCATCGCGGCTTTGCCTAATAAAAGGTCATCGCTTCTTGAAAAAACAATACGAAATTTTCCTCTCGCTGCTTATACCTCAAAAGCGTTGGAATATTTTATTTAGCTCTGAAAACGACCGCTTTTTTCAACTTGCTCATCATCGAGCAAAATCATCCGCCATGTTTGAGCTATACTGGTGACCAGTCTCCCCACTAAGTGAAGTGCGTCATCACGTGCGTCTTTTGAACCAATGGAAAAGTGTGAAATGAAGTTCCGTTTGGTGAGTTCAAATTCACGCGGACTTTCATTAGCAAGAGCACAAGTATTTTGCAGACGCGGATTGTTCATTTATTTTGTTGTTGACACACGAAACGTGCTTCCAGTCATGTCCGAGAACGAGAAGTCAGCTGGATTGTGAAAGGTAAAGGTACGTTCCTGCTTCGTAATGTGTCTTCTGATGGTAACCACGTACTCAAGTAACACTATTGGATGAAAACCTGTGAAAATGCTGTGAAAAATATGTGAAATACCCTGTGACAAGAAAACACCCTGTGAAAAACCCTGTGAATTTTGCACAGCCTAAATTTTGAGAAAATTTCAAAATTTAGGACCCTGTGAAAAAACCTGTGACTAAAATAAGCCTGTGAAAAACCCTGTGAAAAAACCTGTGAACAAATTTTCCAAAAATTGCTTAACAGACACCTCTGAAAAACCCTGTGAAAAAACCTGTGAACAAATTTTCAGAAAATTGCTAGACAGACACCTCTGAAAAACCCTGTGAAAAAACCTATGAACAAAAAATGGTTGAAATCGATAACAGCAATTTGCAAAGATGCACTGAAAAAACCTGGGAATAATGAAGGAATGAACCATATGTGTGCTTTTATAAATAATTTTACACATATATATGTCTATAAATAAAACACATGCATAATTAAGTAAAATAAAAAGCTGGATGATTTGATGGAAGACATTTGTTTTGCTACTCAGAGTTTCATGCTGCCAAAAGTAACGGTTACAACCAAAGATTGATATAGAAAATAAAGAACAATGGCATTAGGGTTTACATTGAATGTGGTTGTTGTATTCAGAGAAGAACCCTTTCACTTGTCACTTAAAAAGACTTTTTCTCAGCTAAGAAGGACTTTACAGAAAACCAATGCTGGCCATATATCTGCTGCATGCTAATAGTGCAGCTTAATGACATATGTGATATCTTCCACTTCCACAAAGTGATGTTTAAGTTTGAGCATTTTCGGACCTAAATGTTGAAACCTAGTTAAGAAAGTGTTGAAAGAAATCTAAATGTTGTTAAATTTCATTCGACATTGTGTCAACATCTTTGTTCTCAAGGATGTTTGTGTTAAAGCATGACGAGTTATCTCTGTTCTCACCATTTGGTTTAATGCTGGATCATGTTAAACAAGTATAATTATTGTTCTAAATGAGAAAGGCACATTAAATATTTCTCATTTATTATTTACCAGGATAATTATAAAATGAACACCATGACATTGCAAAGGTGACCACATGTTGAAACCAGCACTGAATTTAACAAAATGGTAAATGCTTATCTTGCAAGCATCAAGTTATGGATGCTTGTGGTTGGTTGCTATTAAAAAGCACGAATGAAGCATAAGATCAGAGTTGCTTGATGTGATAGCCAAGAGCAATTCAGGTCTAAAACTGAGTCACTGACAAGGTATATTGTAAAATTTTCTTGGTTGTTTGCACAATATGCAACATCATATATCACATCAGCAGCCATGTGCATTCAAATAATTATGTAGTAGGCTGTGTCATAAAAATCAGCCTTGCATTGGATGTGAGCCCATGACCCTCGGTGATGTGTTTTTGTTAGTTCATAAATAAATAAACTTGTCAGTGATGAATAAATGAAAGTGATAATTTGAAAATCATATATTTTAACTAAATAAGCATTTGCTTTAAAGGAAACCTGCTTTGAAGTTGTGAACATAACTGCAATAATCTTTTACTAAATGGCCAGTAAGGGGAGATGGACTGACTTGAGTGACACTTTTTTGGGAAATAAAACATGTTTAGCTAATACTTGTTCTACCATCGTAACAAGCAACACCATGACCATGTCAGTCTGAGAGGGGAAATGGATTTCAGACAGATTCTTGCCCAGAACAAAATTGAATAAAGCAAATGATCAAGGGAAACATTTGGCTTCAAGTAGTAGTATACTTTTTGCAAGGGAGGTCAATCATATTCGGTGATAAAATGATGTACTAGTTCCGTATTTTTGCTCATTGAAAGGATAGTTTTGGTCAAGCTGTTAAAAAAAAGGTCAAACCTAGAGCTAGTTAAAATAATGGAGCCATGAAATGTTGTTCATTATATATCTGTTTATTGTTCATTCAAAGTATTTGTCTATTTCTGATTGGCTAAAATCTCCCAGATAATTCTCCATGACCAGCTACCATTGACCAGTTTAGGAAGACATAATGCTAATATCAGTACAGTTTCCGATATTGTACTGATAATCAAGGAAAAGGGACAGCAGGAGCACAGTAGTTCACCTGCTTTGGTGGAGATTCAGTCTTAAGTGTTATATACTTCAGTTGTACAGCCCCAGTAACTCAAACTCTGAAGGGAAACGAAAAACTGTTTGAGTTAGTAAGGAATTTGAGTTATCAGGGTAAATTTCATTGAAATTTAGAAAGCTAAGGGAAGGGAAATTTAGTTTGAGTTACTGGGGAATTCGAGTTATCTGAGGTTTTACTGTAAACTACTGCATAAAGCAAGTAGGAATCAAGGATGACAACTGCTATTTGAAGAATATCTGTTATCAAAACTAAACATCCACTGCCAAAGAACATGCAAATACATGTATTATGAACATTGAGGCAGCAACTTACATAAGTTTTTAACTTGGAAATAATTTTGAATGAATAATTATTAAAGGTGCTAAGAAAAAGTGAGACAGGAAAGGACCTTTTTTTCATCATATTCAATTTATCAAAGAAAGGTTGTGCATTTCTACATGAAATTCATGTCAAAAAAGAAAGGAGAGTTTTTGATCACAAGAATAACAACTTAAAGAATCAAATAACTTAAAAGAAGGAAGCATCTTAGTCAGAGAAAAGCAAAACTTAAGCTTACTGTAAAAGTTCAAATTTATATGCTTATCTGTTTTCCCTAATTCAAGTAGCTAAATCTCCAGCCCGCTGTAAGAGTAAGTTCATTCACTGGATGACCCTATCATAAGCAGCATCTTCAAGCAAGTCTGTCCACCCTAATTGAAGAACTGGTAAAGAATGACGAGAATTTATTAGATTCAAATGTGTGATAAATTTGTACAGGAAAAGGGAAAAGCTTTCAGATATGGAATTAATAAAGCAACATCCGCTCAAGATTCGTTCATGCATTAAAGCTTAAATCAAAGAAAGCAAGAAAAATTGTGTTGTGTAATTAAAATGACCAAAAATACAGCCCGTAAGTACTCACCTTAAAGAACTTTTTTTCTTCCATTCGGCATATCATTGAGCTTCTGCTTCTGTATACAGCTGTATAACAACAGGTAAAAATATCATAAACGGAGACTGACTTCACTTGTGAACTCAACTCTTTTGCTCGGACCTCAGTTGGATCTCATGCTTGTCCCTCACATATTTTTCTTTAATTTAACCTGTCAAACAAAAAGAATATGGACAAAGACGATCTAGATCGATCCGAACGTTCAGAAACCAAGATGGCCGCACTCGGACGAGAAAGACTGGATCCTAGCACCCGTGTTTTGGCGGTTTTGGCGCGAATTTCTGAACGCGGCTTCCAAACTCTCTTCATTCGTTCAATCACAACAAAGATAGAGATGACGTGTAAAAGCTGA